AGTATCTGGGGAATGAGTAATGCTCCTGTCATATTTCAGTCGTATTGGTATTTAGATCTTGGTCCTCATTAAAACCATTATCTTGTAATGATAATCCTGTAAAGACCTTTAATGGTGTGACGGGTCAGATTTATCACTTGCATGATTTACTAAAACTTTTTTTGCGTATTTTGAAAGCCTTCTCTTGTGGAATTTCAGTCTCTTTCCAAAAATGCTCACTAGCTGTACCGTGTGTTTCAGGTTTAGCCCAACAGGCAGCGTGGTGGTGATGGCTGAAAGACCGAGGGCCAAAAGCGAGTCTCCAGGAAGAGTGGACGATCAGAGGCATCCTAGCTCTCAGGTACACTGGAAAAAAGGAGACTTGGTTAGGGTTAGATTATGTGGATTAAAAAGCAGGTTATATTATTTAGATAACTGTATTACAGTAAATATCTGTACATTTAACATAAATTTTAAAAAATGTATAAAGGACTAAATTTAAGGGTGTATAAAAGCAAGGACGGTGGTGATGTTATGCCAAATTAGGTTCACGCGTGCAGAAATTAACTTTTTGAATATGCAGTGGGAATGGATTTTGGTTTTAGATCTGATCTTCAGTATCAATCTATGTCAGGTTGATCTAAGCAGAAAATGCTGAATTGGTTATTGAAGGGAAAAGAAACAATAAATCTGATCTGATTCTGTAACATAATCTAACCTGAAAAATCAGAGAATTGCTTGTAGCATAATGGTAACATATAGTGCCCTCCACTAATATTGGCACCCTTGGTAAATATGAACAAAGAAGGCTGTGAAAAGTTGTCTTTATTGTTTAACCTTTTGATCTTTTGTTTAAAAAAAAATTCACAAAAATACTCTGCTCTTATGGATATCAAATAATTGCGAATAATTTGATAAACACAGGTTTATCAAAAAAAAACAACTTTGTTAAATATAGGTGTGTAACAAGTATTGGCACCCTTTTAGTCAATACTTTGTGTTACCTCCCTTTGCCAAGATAACAGCTAAGTCTTCTCCTATAAAGACTGATGAGGTTGGAGAATACATGGCAAGAGCCCATTCCTCCATACAGAATCTCTCCAGATACTTCACATTTCGAGGTCCACGCTGGTGGACTCTCCTCTTCAGTTCACCTCACAGGCTTTCTATGGGTTTGAAGTCAGGGGACTGGGATGGCCATGGCTGGACCTTGATTTTGTGGTCAGTAAACCCTTTGTGTTGATCTTGATGTGTTTTGGATCATTGTCCTGTTGGAAGATCCAACCACGGCCCATTTTAAGCTTTCTGGCAGAAGCAGTCATGTTTTCATTTAATATCTGTTGATATTTGATAGAGTACATGATGCCATGTATCCTAACAAAATGTCCAGGTTCTCTGGCAGAAAAACAGACCCAAAACATAAAAGAGCCCCACCACTATATTTAATCATGGCCATGAGGTACTTCTCCATATGAATAACTCTCTGTGTGTGCCAAAACCACTTCTGGTGTTTATTGCCAAAAAGCTCTGTTGGTTTCATCTGAACACAGAACCCGATCCCAACAGAAGTTCCAGTAGTGTCTAAAGACAATTTTTCACACCCTTCTTTGCTCATATTTACCAAGGGTGCCAATTTTAGTGGAGGGCACTGTAATTTAAAGCAACATGGGTAGGTCAGTCGATAATAACAGAAGTCACCAAGGTTCCCATAATATCACTGCGTAGCTAGCTGTTTTTGTGGGAATTGCAGTTCTTTTGTTTTAAATTGTCTCATTTTTCACACATTTGCTATGTGATGTCTTTTTTTGCTTGTTTGACTTTAGTTGAATAAAGAAAGCTGTGGTTTTGTGTAAGTCATTAAAGTGGCTTTCAAAATAGTAGACTTGATACAGATAAGGCTTCTGTATCATTATTTGTAACAAAAAATAAAGAAAAGATGGTGTCTCTAATTTTGCTGACCACCATATGAAACGTCCAGGAACAATTTGTGCTTAATCGTCATGGTTTTCATTCAAACCAACCAGGAGCACATCTGATTCTACTTCTGTAATCAGTTGGTCTTTGTTGTTAAATGACCATTAGCTCCCATTTGCCTGGAATGAATACTTTTAGCAAAACCATCCCTTTGTGGTGAAGACCTCTGGCTTTGCCCTAAAGGCATTCTCTCAAAAACACCTTAAAACAGGCAAATATATTTCTTTTGCAAGGCCGGTAATGTCTTTAGGCTTTAAGGCACCTTTTTAATAACACAGGGAAAGCTGAAATCTGCTTTCTAAGTAGCCAGCAAAGTGGCATTATAATCCTTGGAGCCAAAAGTGGTTGGATGGAATCTCTGAATCATTTTATTTATGCTTTTTATAAAAATTCATGGTTGGAATCCAAGGCAGGGTCAGAACACATGCAGACATAATAATCATAGGCAAGGGCATAGTCTGAAGAAACAAGAGTTTGCAGTTTGGCAAGTTCCTTTGCAATGACTCAGACAGAAAAAAAGCTTTGCCAGATGAAAAACATCTTTTATACTGTACTAGAGGGGTTAGCGGAGTCTCGCATTTCATCTGTATTCAATAGCTTCTGGCATGAGGGAGTTCTATTGGTCCTTGGCAAGTAATAGGAAAAGGGTCTTTGGGTTCAAATTCCAGAGCTTCTGGATCCTTGTCTCTCCAGGGCATCCTCTGTCCTTCTCGCATGCATAGCTTTGGCAAATACATTTGGTCATCATGAGTCCTCTGCAGGCCTCATAAGGCACCCTTGTCTGTTGTATGTTTGGGTTGAAAGGTTTCCAGTCTGGTTAAAATTTCTGGATTTTATTAAGCATGTCCCAAATTCATTTTCTCTATTCAAATAGTCCCACAGAGTCTCAGACATTCACTGGTAGTTCCAGAGGTCTGTTGGTGGACCCATATGTAGACTAGTCCTAGAGGACCACTGCTGGTACCAGACATCTGCATCTCCATCACTGGTACAAGCGGTCCCTTGCTTTGAACAGTTTCACTGTTATAGCCCTGATATTCACTGTGTAGTTTCTCGCATTTTGTTTAAAGTTTGCAGAAGATCTAAGGAATGCATGATATACTTGCTACTGATCTTGTTAAGGTTTTTAACAAGAAAAGATTTTTTAAAAATAAAATAAAAATTATTTACAGTATGCACTGTATCTACTGCTTGTCCATTCTCATGTCAAGTCCCTGAATGGTGGTTGTGCAATTCATCTTTGTTTTTCCAAAGGAGGTGGGGTTGTATCCTCCAGACAATGGGATATCCCATCTGGTTTCTCTCTCTGCTTCACCAGGACTGCCTTCTGTTTGTTTATCAGACCCACTGATGTTCAGTAATTCTTTGGGAATACTTAATTATTGTCTAATTTTATGCTGGCCTGTTTGAAGTCCCTCAATAAGATCAGACAGTATTTGAAAGCCCATCTCTTTTACACTGGGTGATACCACCCCCTTTTTTGTTTGTATGCTGGCTATATGACCTCTTTCCCTGGATAGCATATGTGTAATGGCCCTATGTTGGTCCACCTTTACTTCCATCTGGCTCCCATAACATGGAATGACTTCAATGAACTTCTCGGCATCAGGCTCCCAGAACACTGTTGTAACTCATCATTGATGAAATTAAGGAAATAAGGATTGCATTTGGGCCATTTAAGGCTCTGATACCAAATGCTTGCAAATTAGTAAGTTACGTTTAAATCATAACTGGCCCTTAGGATAACTAAATTTAACCATTGTTGGCCTGGAATCACTCCAGCCATCTGCGATGGAATTCCTCCTTTGGAAACGATCATGTTTGTATTTTCTCACCTATATTACAACAATACATGCTGAGTTATTTCCTTTTGTCAGTAAGATGTCTGGTTACCAACTGCTTCTTTCTATCCATTCTGGTATCACTCTTTGAAAACCATGCACATGCATTCTGGTCTGAATCACGTTGCCCATGACGTGTGTCTCAGCTGTCTGGTTTTGCCAGCATTTAAGTATTCTCAGCTTGAGGCTAGGCTGAGCAACAATAATGAGGAAGCCTGATATACCAGAGATACACTTATATTATAGCTTGGCTATAGTCCATGGCTGTGGATTGAGACACCATTTAGGTGTCTACTCCACATTGTTCAAGTAATTTCTTCTTGTTTTGTTTCTGTAGTGCTGTAGGCTCAATGTACAAACCTAGTGATGAGCCTTTTATCCTAGGTAGCATCCAGCACCATCCTAGCACTCTTGCCATGTCCCATTGTCAGAAGGTTTATTTATTGATTTGTCCAACCCTCTGCCTGGCTAAAGAAGCTCTTAATCTGGGTCTCTTTCCCAGATTATGATCTTGCTGTTTGGCAAGACAACATTACTTTTCTGTATCTTGATTTTGTAAATACTGATGATTGGTTGGAGTTCATATGTATCTGACATGGATCTTACATACACTGATGATGTGAACTCATGAGTAGGACCAGGAGTTTTTGGTTTCATCTAACTACTCTGCTACAACCAGGGGCTAGTGTTGGCCTTTGGTATCCAATAGGAAAAGGTTCAGATTCCCATAGGGTTCCACTTTTTCCATTTTCGAAACAATACCACTATCAGAGCTCTGAGTATTAGCTGATCCGCTATACTGATCCTATATTGACATCTTAGAAACCCAGCCAGTTCTTTGCAAGCTTCGCTTGCGGAGACAGGTTGCGCAGGCTCTTCACATGCAAGAATTGTCATATCAGTCAACATATGTCTTCCGGATACAAAATACCTCAGTGGCATTGATCTGAAAATGGCATTCAATCCAATTTAACATCATAGCTTAATATCAGCCCGATGTTCTGTATTAGGTCACTTTCCCTTTCTTTCAGCTACTGTTTTGGGTCGCCACAGCAGGACCACCCGTCCATATCTTACATATTTTGATTCTGGCACAAGTTTTTCACCAGATGCCCTTCCTGAAGCAACCCTCTCCATTTTCAGGGCTTTGATGCGGGAGTGGGATTGGGAGTGCACTGGCTTGTGTAACCCTCCATCTGGGGTTCATTCCCTGGCCGTGAATTGAACCTGAACCGTGGCAATGAGAGCGCTTTATGCTAGCCACTAGTCCACCAGGGAACTGTTCAGTATTAGGTCACTAAACTCCCGCAAATCTAGTTCTCATTGCTGCTTCTGTTTGGTCAATCTCTGCTAGTTCTATAGCCTCCTAATTGATTCATTTCATTAACTGCTATTCTGTTCTTGCTTTCAATATGTTTTTTTTTTGCTGGCCAATAAAGTTCCACCTGGTGGTATGCTGCTAATCAAGTGAATGTTAGATGTGTGTTTTGTTCTGAGAGTGTGCAGGTAGACACAGGTGTGCACATTGAATTAGGTATATTCAACTTCATCCACTTTGTGTTGCTTAAAAAGGTCCTGTCTCTATTCTTGCTTCATTCTCCTCAACCAGCTATTGATTGTTAAAATGCCATTCCACTGAATTCAGTGCATTAATGGCACCTGTTTCTGTGCAATTCAAAGGCAAAGTGCAAGGAAACAAGAAAATATGGAGCACTAGAATGTGCTTTTCAGTGTGCAAAAAAAAAGATCTCATTTTTGGTTTTCTGCTCTGCAGGGAGAGGAAGCAGCTGTGTATGATGTAGGAGGGTATGAGGAGTATCTGCGTGAGCAGGTGGGTGATCGCTGGTTCCGCTACAACCCACGCCTCACCTGTATCTACTGCTGCAAGTCCTTTAATCAGAAGGGCAGCCTTGATCGTCACATGCGGCTGCACATGGGCATCACACCATTCGTGTGCCGCATGTGTGGAAAGAAGTACACGCGCAAGGACCAGCTGGAGTACCACATCCGCAAGCACACTGGAAACAAGCCCTTCCACTGCCACGTCTGTGGCAAGAGCTTCCCCTTCCAGGCTATCCTCAACCAGCATTTCCGGAAGAACCACCCAGGCTGCACACCACATGAGGGCTCGCATAGCGCGTCACCTGAAACCACCACCAACAACAACAATAATGTCAACAACGCAAACGCCAATGCTGCCACACCACGACGCACTCAGCATGATGATGACGATGAGTCTGAGGGAACCGGTGCAGGAGCCAGAGGAGGAGCTTCATCTTTTGGGGAGGGGATACAACCGTCGGTCTCCACCACTGGGCCTGATTGAAGGGATTAGGTTTAATACAATCCATGGAGGTTGAGGAGATAAAAAATAATAATTTGGGGCTTTGAGAAAAAGAAGAAAACAAAAAAAGAAATTTTCTAGAAGCCAATCAACAATAAGCATGTGCAGGAGCTGATGGTGCACGGTATATCCAGCTGCTTGAAAAGCTGCTGTCACTCTGATGTTAAAAAAATATAAGGAGGATGAGTTGGTGGGTATTTTATCTTCGTTTCTTAGACATTCTTTCAACTGTAAGTAAACAAAGGTGAGACAACAAAACAAATGCTAAGACTGTTTGCTATAAAACTAAACTAGAGTAGTAGTGATTAGGTATTTATAAATAAATAACATATGCGCTTTAAACCGCATCTACCTTCAGTTGCACAAACTGAACCGTTACTTCAACAAATGAAGACAAGCCACACTCCAACAACCTCACACACCACTGGATGCAGTTATTTCTGTTTTTTCTTTTTTCTCTCTCTCTCTCTTTTTTTTTTTTTTTTACTTTCCTGTCTTTTATATTTGTTACTGGTGTTTGTTTGTTTTTTTGTTTTTTATATATATATTTTTTTGTACAAGTTATCAAAAGCTTCAGAATTCAGGACAAAGAGATGATGTGTTATGATTTGGTCAAATTATGTTGAAAATAATTGCCAAACTTCTTTGTGCCAGATGGTGATTATAAAATAGAGGATGTTTCAGTCCTCAATTACTTTTGCCTTGAGACAATCTTAACATATTGGGGTTCGACGCTGCTGCTCCCCAGCTATAGCTAGGCTAGAAAAACGGGTTCTGTTTTTCTTCGTTAGGGCCCCTCAGGTCTGATCTAATGCTCTAATGCCAGATTCCTAATTTGTGTGGTTTGTTTCTAAGTGCCAACCTGGCTTTGTCATAAATTCTTCTGTTTGCAGTTATTTGATAGGCCTAGAAAAAATCTTAGCTGATGGACTTTTAATTAGTTGTTGCATTACGCAATTTAGCATGTTCTTAAAACAGTGATAAGACTGATATTGGAATGTGGGGAGGAAATAGCAAATGATGTTATTTGATTTAATTGTTTCATTCCCATACTCCAAATCTAGCTGCTGAATATAATTAATACAGTACTATAGAAAACAGGAAAGTGTTCAACCTCAGATAAGCTACAGTACCACTCAGTTACCTCTCCCTCATCACTACGCAATACAGATCTGTTACACACAGATTGGTGGATGCACTCAACTCAGTTTCACGTTTAAAGGTTTCTTTCTCCATGTTTCTTTATTTTACTTCTTTTTTTTGTGTAATAAGTGAACAATAAGAGATTTGTCATTTGTAGATTTCTTTCAGTATCACTCTGACAGTGATGGAGCATGTTAGAGTTGGTGGGAAGCGATTTGTTTTGTAGGTAAAGAAAATTTTTATTGCAAACGTCCAAGAAAAGGAGTCGGGAATGGAACCAAATCCAGGACATGTGTACATCTGTTAACAGGAAATCCTTTTGAAATGCCACGGAATGACTGTGAGATTAGGATTTTATCGGAGGAGAGCACTTTAAACTGTGGAGTCAAATTTTAGGGTTTTTTTGTTTTTGTTTGTTTGTTTTTGTTTGTTTGTTTTTGAGCAGATGTTGCCAGCTGGTGCTATGATTCGACTTCAAGTGACAGAAGCTCTTGGGAACCAAAGGAACAGAAACGTATCCTAGATGTTATACCTCTGACACTCACTGCAAGACCGAGGAATCTATTATTAAATATAAAAAAAGAGAGACAGAGAGAGAGAGATTACATCCGGCACTAAAAGATAGGATTGTTTAATGGGGGATTTTTTTTCCCTTCTTTTAAAATATCTAATTATAGATCACTTATGCATATAGAGAACCTTTTGTATGTGTAAAAATAAGAAAGGAAAGAAAAGCTTTGGTAAAGTGAAAGGCTGTCCGTTGGATGAATGGATGGGTGGTGTGGATTTGTTTTTTTTTCTTTAAGGCTGTGAATCACACATGGTTGTGACCATACATTTTGTCCCCTTCCCTGATGACTGGGAAGAGCCTAGAAGAGAAAACAGCTACTGATTATTTTCAATGGAATGCACCTCTTATCCTCTTAAAAACCGTTCAGGACTCCTCAAGACTTTTCTACCGTTTTCTGTCGCTTCCATGAATAAAGGACAGCACCTCTTTAGAACAATATCAGGAACTCTACCCATTTTTTGTTTGGATGTTTACTCTTCTTTCCACACTAAAAGCTGTTTTAGACGTTCTTGGACCTCGCTTTACTTTCAGCTTCACAAGTGCAGCAGGAAAGCACGTCGACAACGGCGATGACGACATATGAACATCTCTGTAGTTAAGGCCTCAGAAGCAGTAGCAACACGAAAACGTTATGAAACTGTGTGAACATGTGGTGTCAGTGTGCATCAGTCAGGTTAACGAAGAACACGCCGATGTTGCGGGTCTCTTTACTCCAGCGCAACCTCATAAGAACAGCCAATGTAGATTACAACTTTATATATTCATAACCTCATAATCATAACCTAGTGTGACACGATATAAGCAGGATTTATTTTTTATTCTCTCCATATTTTAAGATTGTTTTATATTAGCCAGTCAAATAATGGCAGGGTGGTGGTTATAGTGATAGTGATGGGCAATCTCAGTGTCAGATGAGTGCTTATGTTTGTTTCTGTTCATTGCAATGCAAAGGATTCGTGTATGATCGATCATTCCAAGTTGCAGAATGTTATCAGAAGTGTAAAATGTTAGGGCTAATACAATTGTGCAGTATCTGTCCAGGTCAAAAAAACAAACAAACAACAACCTCACTTCAGTCCATCAACATATTTTTTTATAGATGACTTTTTTTAAGAAACCAAGCTCTTCTAGGTTTTTAGTTACTTATTTTTCTCTGACCTTCTCATTTTCATTTTTATTTTGTGCTTTCGAAGTTCATCATATAGGAGAAACACATTATCATGATGTAAATACTAGTGCTATTTAAAATTTCTAATAATCAGCACAGCTACTGCAGATAGATGGCATTGACTGAACAAATGTTCTGATTAAACGCACACAACACAGTGTTACACATTTCACATCAGATTGTACAGGACAATTGAGCCGCTGCAAGAAATTTCAGCGCACTTTCCAACCAGCATCTGTCTGTAGACCGCGTTCATACCTGGAGCGTATCCCGATAAGGGTTTATCCGCATGCATCCGTATGGCAGTGTAGGTTCTGGCCTTTGCTTGGTGGAATTTTGTTTAAAATGTCTCGCTTTTGCGTGTAGGTCAGCCAGAAGTGATGGTATCACAGTTTTAAATCCTCCAAAAGTGAAAAGGGAGAAAATCACTTTTAAATATTTCATTCCGCAGGATCAGCGCAGACTTTTTGACCACCAGTATCTGATCACAAACTGTGTAGGCTTGTATCTGGTTTACCATGACACGGTGTTATCGAACAATATATGTGAAGAAATGACACTTGGCTAGCGAGGTTTTAGACATCTTTAGGCAGACTGACTGTACACACGACAGCTACCGATAAGGAAGTGTGAGGGCTGGAGTGTGCATCATTCAAGACCCATTATATGAAAATCTAAACTTATAGCTTTCACTAGAGAGTCTGGTCAGTAAGTGAGAACAAGAATTCTTGCACTCACTTCTTGTTTACTTGCTAATGACTGTGATTACATTTTGCTCTGAAAACCTCATTTGCCTGTGTTTTAAAAAATATATATTTTCCACTGAAAGCAAGCTTGTGCAAATACACTGAACTATGAAGAGCCAGTCAGATTACACATTCAAGATCCTGAAGCTTGTGTCTAGAAAAGATGTATGGATTTGAAAAGATGCATTTGAGTCTGACTAATGTTCCAAAAAAAGATGTGTTGATGCTATATCATGTAGAAAATATGGTGAAAACACCACAATATGAAAGTGAAGTACTCAATTTATTCAAGAAGTTTCTCGTTAT